TTTTTTGTGATTTAGTTCTTGCACAGTACTTTTGGAAGAGAAAAATGAACAAGCTGTTAAGATTCAGACAAAAGAACTATAAAATGTATGTGTATGTTCTTTTAAAGGGTTTGAACTAACAATTGATCACCCACATACACATGTGGTAAAGTGCACCCAGCTTGTGCGGGGTAAGTAACCCTAATTGTCTTGAATTGTTTAGTTATTTGGGATCTATGCTTGGCTCTGGACTAAAGCATAGCACAGCACAGCTGCTTTGCCTATACTAAGTGGCCTGTTTGGCTGGTATCAGACACTTGGTTCTGACCTATTGGAAAAAGTGATTTTTTTCGACGGTCTTAATTTAATGAGAATGTAAGGTTTGCATAACTTGTGATTTTGACAGGATTACTTGGGAGCCAGACCTCTGTCTTGATTATGTTCATTGAGACAAGAAGGCCTTCCCCATAGTGGAGGAAAGAGCTGAGTAGCAGCTACATCATCACCTTATTTCTGACTGGATGCCTGTGACCAGCTGCCTAGGCTCTGCAGCCCTGACTGTGGTGTACGGTGCACTGTGATGCACTCACCCTACTGTGAGCAGAAAACCACAGAATGGTAGGGTATTTTATAGAGCAACAGGAAAAGAAACTAAGTGATAACATCTGTTTGGTTGAGGGTATTTGCCAGTGTAAGGGTAGGTCTGGAAAAGTCACCAAGTCACATGTATCTAAAGTATTTTTCAGAAGATCTTGAAAGTTGGTGATCTTGGGCCAGCAAGATGACTCAGTAGGTAAAATCACTTTCCTCACCAGCCCGATGACCTGAGTTTGAGCCCTGGATCCCACAGTGGGAGGAAAGGACTGCCTTGTAAAAGTTGTCTTCTGACTTTCACACGTGCTGTGGGATTCCAGTGCCCTGCCCTACCCCATCCCCCCCTGTTTATTTTTAAACTGGATAATCTTATTTTAGTTCATGTCTAATTAAAGGAAACTCCAATGATAGAGAATTCATTTGAACTTATTTTTATTACTGATTAACCATTGGGTATGATATACTTACTTATTATTTGTTTGTTTTTATGTGTTTGGGTATTTTGCTTGAGTTTATGACTTTGTAGGACATGTGTGGCTAGTACTTTCGTAGGCCAGAAGAGGGCATCAGATCAGATATGTAGATGGTTGTGAACCACCATGAAGGTGCTGGGAATCAGACCCTGGTTCTCTGGAAGAAAGGCCAGTGCTCTTAATCACTGAACCATCTCTTCAGTCTCGAGTTAAAAACTAGTTCTTAGATGATTAATTTAACTAATTAGTTAATTTAATATTTTTTTTCATTTTTGAGACATAGTCTTACTATGTAGTTCCGGCTGGACTGGAACTTATTAAGTAGAATTCAAGAGTTCTGCGTCCTAAGTGCTAGAATTAAAGGTGTGCACCTCCATACCCAGTGTTGGTTGGGTTTTTGTTGTTTTGTTTTTGCTATACTGTTTAAATGTAGGGCCTTGTATATGTTAGGCAAGTGCTCTGCCATTGAGTTATATCCCTAATCCTTAAAGGTTCCTTTTATTTAAATAGTATCAATAATACCTGGGGTGCCAACTGTGACACACCTGCATTCACAGTACTTGGGAGGCTGAGGCAAGAAGATTATTGCAAATTCTAGGCTAGCCTGGGCTATATAGTGAGATCTAATCAATAACACAAATAGCAAACAAAGGAAATGTGAGGCTGGGCATAGAACTAAGTTGGTAGAGCATTTACCTGGGTTTTATTCTGAGATAAAAGGTCTGGATATTATAGTGCATGTAGATGATGTCTTATGGAGTTTTATATGCTGAGCTGATAATTAGCCTTATTTTCATATTAATAGTATCTCATGAAAATTGAATTTCTAGAAAATTCCCACTTTCCCCAAGTTCTATACATTAAAATTTAAGTTTGTTTTTATGTGTCGGAAGGTGGGGGTGTTATTCGTGTGCCACTTGGCCTGTGTGGAGAAAGCCAGAAGATAACTTTTGGGAGTCAGTTCTCTTCCATCATGTGGCTTGAACTCATGTTGTCAGACTGGTGCAAGTACTTTACCACATTTTACCTGCCCAAGTTTTGTCAGTTCTGCATATTTTAAAAATATTGAAGTAGCTGGGTAGTGGTGGTACCTGCCTTTAGAGGCAGGAGGACAGCCTGATGTACACAGAGAAACCCCGTCTTGAAAAAAAAATCAAAATGCTTGGAAATCAGTAGTAGAACCTGTACTTTGCCTGAAAAAGACTCTAGGTCAAATTGAAGCACCCTATTTCACCTTCTCATAAACTTTGGTCTGCTTCCTTGGGTAGAATGTAAACACCACGTACCCAGGCATTGTCTCTGCCCAGTTTATAACGTTCGTAGTGCCATATAGATAATAAATACTAAGTGTTTGTCCAGAAGAATGGAACTAATAACTTCTTTCTCTTTTGTTTTTGTTAGCAAGCAAGGACTTAGCACAGACATCTTACTTCATGGCAACCAACAGGTTTATATTTTTATTTTTTTTCTTCTGTTTTTGGGTTTGGAATTTGGTTGGGCTGGATTTGTTACCTTTTGAGGGATATATAGGGTCACTTAGTAAACTAGAGCCAAAAGACCATGGAAATAATCTTTGATATAATGTATTATATGTAGACAGTGCCCTGGAGAGTGTGGATTTTCCTGCAGACTCTTTGTACCTTGCATTTACGTTATACCTTTTAATTTGCTAGGGTTTTGTAATTATTTAGCCTTCCCAATTATATGTATTAACTTTGCTATAAGATATCCAAGATATAATTCTGAAAATTGATGCAATTTTAGGGGTTATTGATTTTCTTCTGCCCAAGCAATGGACATTTAGTATATAAGGATTTGCAATATATTTTTCTTTAAAAAATAGTTATCAGTATATAAGTTGTTCTGCTAAGTGACTTGCTTGTTCTTGTGTCTGATTTCCCATATTGTTTGTTCAGAGAAACTGTCATCAGTCATCAAGTGTAAGAGTTTTAATTTTAGTAAGCAGGCAAAGAGTGCTATGGGTGTAACGCAGTTCTTAGAGTACTTTCCAAGCATGCACCAGTTCCTGAGTTTAATTCCCAGCCCTGTATACATTGAGTATGGTGGCTCACATCTGTGATCCCAGCGCTCAGGGACCAGAGGCAGGAGAATCAGTAGTTGATGGTCATCCTCTGAACTATAGCAAGTTCATGGCCATTCTGTGTGATGTAAGACCCTATCTTATTAACATAGACAGACAGGCACACATGCAAACAGAGGGAGGAGAAATGAAAAATTCATGAGGTAAGAGTCAGGTATTATGGTAGCTCAGCCTGTGCTCCTCAGCTTTTGGGAGATAGGGCCGCTGTGAATTTCAGGGCAGCCAAAGAATGAGTCCCTGCCTAAAAACCAGATGACATCTTTTGGGGGAAAACTATCAGGTGTATTTATACTCGAGTAACTGTTCTTTATTGTATTTTTTTCTTTTGATTTTTTTGAGACAGGGTCTCATGGCCCAGGCTAGCCTTGAACTTTGACATTCCATGTGTTGGGGTTATAGGCATCTGCTACTGTGCTGGCTTTGGCTTTTTGCATTTTTTTTTGTTTGTTTTTGGTTTTTTTTTGGGTTTTTGTTTTTGTTTTTTTGGTTTGTGACTGGATCACAGACAGTAACTCTGGTCTTGAAGTGTGCTTGTACATCTGGCTGGCTTCAAACTCACCGAGATCTGCTAGCCTATGCCTCCTGATTGCTGGGATTAAAGGCGTGCATCACCAAAGTTACCTAGTTCTTTTTCTTCTTTTATTTTTGTTTTCATTTTTTTGTTTACTAATCATTGTATAGATTGTGTGGTAATAGGAAATTTAGGAATGTTGTTAACCCGAGCAATATTTTAATAGTCATTTTGAGGGGCTAGAGAGAAGAGTCAGAGGTTCAGAGCAGCACATACAGCCTTCCAGAGGACTCGAGTTCCAATCCCACCATCCATTGTGGGGAGGTACCTACACCATGACCTGTAATTAATTCCAGCACTGGGAGGTTGAGACCTCCGGCCTCCCTGGACACCTTCTCTCATGTGCATGTACTTCTGTCCCTAACAGACACGTACACATAATTGAAATGAAATGTTTTAAAGAAAGAAGTTGAGTGCTAAATCAGAGCATAGGAGATTTCTTGCCCTTCTCGCTCTCCTGTGGTTTTTTGTTTTTTTTGGTTTTTATTTTTTTGCTTTTTAATAATGGAGAGTTTTAGTTTAGGGTTGAGAATTGAGGGCTCATGACACTCTCTGTTTCCTTCCCTTTGATGTCAGCCTGCATTTGACCACATTTAGCCTGCAGTACACACCTCCTGTGGTGGCCTGTGTCTGCATCCATCTGGCTTGCAAGTGGTCCAACTGGGAGATCCCAGTCTCAACTGACGGGAAGCACTGGTGGGAGTATGTTGACGCCACTGTGACGTTGGAACTTTTAGATGGTAAGTTTTAGTGTAAGGGACCTGAAACGCACTTCTTGATTTGTCACATGTCTGGCCAAATGTGACTTGATTCACATGAAAACAGTAAGTTAGTTGAGGTTATTCATGTTTCATTGCCTTCTTGTCTCTGAGCATTTCTTGAATGTTTCATTTGTAGAATTGACACATGAATTTCTACAGATTCTGGAGAAAACTCCAAGCAGGCTGAAACGCATTAGAAATTGGAGGGTAAGAATTATTGCTGACAAACTTATTCTTTCCTTTAACTTTGCCAGTGAATATGCCAGAATTGTATATGTGCACGAGGTTTGCGATTTCCCTTTTCTCAACAGTCATTGTGACTTGGTAGCGTGGATACTAGCTAAGATGTTAGTCTGTAGGGAACTTTGCTTTGGGTCCCTGTGCAAATTGTGTAAATTGCCTTTTGCATAGTTACTTGTTCAGTGGCACTGGCTTTATTTGGTTTGTTTGCATATATGTATTCACATGTAGTTGTACATGCCTGTGAGCATACATATGGAAGCCAGAGGTGGTTTTTGTGTTTTCCTTTATTGCTCCCTATTATTTTTGAGACATGGTCTTTCTTACTGAACCTGGAGCTCACTATTTGAGCTAGACTGGCTGGCCTGAACTCTAGGGGTCAGCCTGTGTCTGCCTGCCTGTCTCCCTCTACCCACCGTACTTTGGAGTCATAGGTACATGCCACTGCACTGGGTTTTTACATGGGTGCTGGGCATCTAAACTCCTTATGCTTGCAAGGCAGGCACTTTACCCACTGAGCTGCCTCCGTCTCCCAGCTCCAGATGTGTAATTTCTGTATAGTGTTGATNAGACGATGAGTAAAAGATGATTAACTTAAAAAATTAGCATGTGTACATCCGAATGGGGGAGGCGTGGTCAAGGGTGATTGGCAAGTATGAGATAATTTCTGATGGTTTAAATTGTTTATAGGTTTCATTTTCATCCCTACAATGAGAAGAAAAATTGGAAACTGATGAGTAAAGTCTAGGTGTTTCTCAATTGCAAAGAGTTCATGCCTCTCACCTATTTTCAGATTATATATATATATATATATATATATATATGTACCATCTAAATATACATTTATATGTATAGCAGATGTGAGTACTATTCACCTAAATAAAAAAAAAATTTCCTTGGAGGATAAGAAAAGACTGGAAGTTGCAGGAGGCAGGCGTAGGACAATGTTTCTGGAAGCCCAGCAGGCTCGGAACTCACAATGTAGCTGAGACTGGTGTTGAATTCTTGAAGGAGCTGTCTCTGCTACCTGACAGCTGGGGTTAGAGCAGGTTCACTATGCTCACTCAAGTCTGAAAGGGTTAGAACTTTTTTTTCAAAAAGTTAATCAAGGCAGTTGTCTCGGCACAGCGGATGTGTGTCGCCGCTTAGGTGACGCTGGGAAGTGCTTGCAGCCCCCGCCGCTGCCTTTTGGTTGAAGCACTATGGAGGGAGAGAGGAAGAACAACAACAAACGGTGGTATTTTACTCCAGAACAGCTGGAAAATAGCCCGTCGCGTCGTTTCGGCGTGGACTCAGATAAAGAACTATCTTATCGCCAGCAGGCGGCCAATCTACTCCAGGACATGGGACAACGTCTTAACGTCTCACAACTGACTATCAACACTGCTATAGTATACATGCACCGGTTCTATATGACTCAATCTTTTACACAGTTTCATCGCTATTCTATGGCTCCAGCAGCCTTGTTTCTAGCAGCAAAAGTGGAAGAACAGCCAAAAAAAACTGGAACATGTCATCAAGGTAGCACATACTTACCTCCATCCACAGGAGTCACTTCCTGACACGAGGAGCGAGGCATACCTACAACAAGTTCAAGATCTGGTGATTATAGAGAGCATAATTTTGCAGACCCTCACAAGCAAGGACTTAGCACAGACATCTTACTTCATGGCAACCAACAGCCTGCATTTGACCACATTTAGCCTGCAGTACACACCTCCTGTGGTGGCCTGTGTCTGCATCCATCTGGCTTGCAAGTGGTCCAACTGGGAGATCCCAGTCTCAACTGACGGGAAGCACTGGTGGGAGTATGTTGACGCCACTGTGACATTGGAACTTTTAGATGAATTGACACATGAATTTCTACAGATTCTGGAGAAAACTCCAAGCAGGCTGAAACTCATTAGAAATTGGAGGGCATACCAGGCTGCCATGAAAACTAAACCAGATGACCGAGGAGCAGATGAAAACACATCAGAGCAGACAATCCTCAATATGATTTCTCAGACCTCTTCAGACACGACTATTGCAGGATTAATGAGCATGTCAACTACTTCTACTACAAGTGCAGTGCCTTCCCTTCCTGTCTCTGAAGAGTCATCAAGCAGTCTAACTAATGTGGATATGTTGCAAGGCGAGCGATGGCTGTCTTCCCAACCTCCTTTTAAACTAGAATCTTCTCAGGGTCATCGGACTAGTGAGAATTTAGCACTTATTGGAGTTGATCATTCCTTGCAACATGATAGTTCGAATGCATTTGTTTCCCAGAAGCAGATTAGTAAGAGCGTGCCATCAGCTAAAGTTTCACTTAAAGAGTACCGTGCAAAGCACGCTGAGGAGCTGGCTGCTCAGAAGAGGCAGCTGGAGAATATGGAGGCCAATGTGAAGTCACAGTATGCATATGCCGCTCAGAATCTCCTGTCCCACCATGACAGCCATTCTTCAGTCATTCTGAAGATGCCCATTGAGGGCTCAGAAAATCCTGAACGACCTTTTTTGGAAAAGGCTGACAAGTCAGCTCTGAAAATGAGACTCCCGGTGGCCAGTGGAGATAAAGCATCCTCCTCAAAACCAGAGGAGATGAAAATGCGCATTAAAGTCCACTCTGCAGCTGAGAAGCACAATTCTGCAGAGGACAGCATCTCCAAGAGCCGGGAGCACAAAGAAAAGCACAAGCCTCATCCGTCCAACCACCATCACCATCATAATCACCATTCACACAAGCACTCTCACTTACAGCTGCCTGTCGGTGCTGTGAACAAACGGCCAGGTGACCCAAAACACAGCAGCCAGTCCAGCACCTTAGCACACAAACCATATAGTTTGTCTAGTACTTTGTCTTCTTCGAGCTCTACTCGTAAGAGGGGTCCCCCGGAAGAGACTGGGGCAGCAGTGTTTGATCATCCAGCCAAGATTGCCAAGAGTACTAAATCCTCTTCCTTGAATTTCCCCTTCCCTCCTCTTCCTACAATGACCCAGTTGCCTGGGCATAGCTCAGACACAAGTGGCCTGCCCTTTTCACAGCCTAGCTGTAAAACTCGAGTTCCTCATATGAAACTGGATAAAGGCCCTCCTGGGGCTAATGGTCACAACACAACTCAGTCAATAGATTATCAAGATACTGTGAATATGCTCCACTCCCTGCTCAGTGCCCAGGGTGTTCAGCCCACTCAGCCCCCTGCATTTGAATTTGTTCATTCTTACGGTGAATATATGAATCCACGAGCTGGTGGAATCTCCAGATCTGGCAATACAGACAAACCTCGACCACCACCCCTACCATCAGAACCACCTCCACCACTTCCACCTCTTCCCAAATGAAAAAAAAAAAATGAGGCGAAAACTTAAAAAACAAAAACACTTTGTTTTTGGGGGATTTTTGGTTTGTTTTTGTTTTGACTACTGATACTGGACTACGAAAATTACATCCCTTATGAAATATGTCACCATTGGACTAAGGAATAAATTGATATTGAGACAGGTGGGAGGGTGGTGGAGGCCTCAGTTATTACATCTGCCTCATACATCTATCTTATAGTCTGTACTGGTATCAGAGGTAAGATTGTGTTGAAGCTGTGAAGGATTAAGAACACTGTTCTTGGCCTCTCCTCATCCTTATGGGGTTGATTGAAGTACTCTTCCCCTCTTCTTGCTGGAACTGAATCGTGGGGGTGATCAAGCAGTTTGTTTAACATATCAGAAGAGGGAGTATTTAAACGTCAGATCTTTAAGAGACTTAAAAATAATTTAAAGAAAGTAAGTTATCTGTTTAGTTTTTTTATATAATCGGGAAGGGGAAGGGGTTTTGCTGTGTGTATGAGGTACATAGCAATGACTGAGGGTGGGGGTTGGAGGGTGGGAGTGTGTGCAGGGTGGGTGGGATGGTAGGCTTTTGGCCAAGAGTGAAGTAGGCTCAGGCCACTTGAAGTATTGAGACCTTTAAAGTGTATGAGTGTATGTGAGTGTGTGTGTGTTGTGTGTGAGAGAGAGAGAGATTAAAAATCATGTTACCTTTTTCCTCCCCCCTCTACCATTTCACATCCCCACATTCTACTAGAGAGCGTAGTTGGCCTTGAAAACACGAAGAGGCATGTATTGACATTGACACACTGCAACACACTTTATGTTGTGATTGAGTAGTAGCCCTGTTGTTTCTAGTGTGGACAGATGTAGCCAGTGAGCCAACTCTCTAGCACTATCATGAAAACTCCCTTTGGCCCTTTTTGTGCTTTCAGTGCAGATGGACGATTGAGGAAGACGCTTACAGAGCAAGGCCGGCTTCTGCCCTACAGAGTTGGGCCTTTTCAGGTTGGGCTTTGGGAAAGTTTGGGTCTCTGAGGGAAGAAGGGTGTGCTTGCATGTCCTGTCTATCGGAGACTAGACCATGTGTGGTATTGGGAGAAGCCATGCAGTTAATGATACTAAAGACAATGAAATTGTGATTTGGGATTCTGAAGAATTTGCATTTTAAGATACATTATGAATGTAATTCTTGCTTTTTATCTGTCTATCAAACGGAAAACAACTGCACACTTGTGTTTGCAGCCTGTATGACTTCAGAGATGAGTGTGAATTCAGAGCACTGGTGTGATGAGTGAGAAAACCTAGCCAACAGACACAGTTGTGTTTCAATTGTTTCTTTTCAGTGGTTTTTGATTCTAGACAGAGTCCTGTTTTTAAAAAGTGGATCAGGAATCCTGTTATGGGGCTTGATTATTCCAGATATTAGGGAATATTTTTGATGAAGGAGATCTTTGAAGAGATAATGGCTAGAAAAAAATTCTAAGTCAGGCTCTCTAACTGAAAATGCTACCTAGCCACAGATCATTGCTATTCTTTGGTTCACTGCATGAAAAAAAATATGTATGCACACGCATGTAAATGTGTGTGTAGTTTTTTTTTTTTTTTTGCTATGGAAAAGATGGTGCTATGAAAATAACTTTTGTCTTTTTTTTTCTTTTTTAATTAGTGAAGCTTCTGTCATGCCAAGTAGTCTTTATGGAGAGGTCAGATTCTTTTTGCTGAAAGTCGTAGGGAAACAGAAGTTGTACGGGTGCTGCTTGCCAAGAACAGCCTAGGAAAACACTGCGGCAGTTACTATTGAGGTAATGGCCCAGTAGAGAAGAATGTATGGGAGGAATATATCTTAGGGTGACTTCGTGGTTCGTAATCTGCATGTTTAACAGCCCTGGAGTGCCTGCCAATGCTGTGCAAAACAAGGAACTCCTAGCTGATCTGTAAGCCAGTGATATTTCTTGGTATGCAACTTTTAAAGTGACATTTTCTTTCTTGGTATTTCCTGTGTTGTGCAAGAAATATGTGTCTTCATGATTACTAAGTTTAGGTTTGGTATTCGTTTAGATTTTGTTTTCCATCCTGACCTTCCCAAAAGGGAATGTGCCATTTTAGAGTACTTCTGTATTTGTGGGATTGACCATAACTGATTTGGGAAAATGTTCTTTTAATTACTCTCACTAATGTCACGTGTTTCTAATCACATGCACTCCCTTACCACAAAGGCTGTTGTATTTGCTGTTACAGCAGTTCTTCTTGCCATTGCTGTAGTTAATTTCTTAGAACTGTCAGTAGTGAGCTAGAAAGTGCTTACTAGAGTCTAAAAGAGTGACCATGTTGTAGTCTGTCTGGTCCTACTGTAGATCAGCACTGAATTTGGTTAGTTTATGGACTTTTCCTATATTAGTTCCTCCTGGTATTGTCTACAGATATCTACAGTATCTGCTTTTAGATCTGTGCATAGGTCCTGAACCTCCTCATGGGCTCTGCATGAACTGCTGCATTATTTTTGGGTTAGCAGATATACCTTCAAGCTAGCATGCATATTGTCCTGTTTCTGTATAAATAAGGCTTCTAAACTGTGTGTGTCTCTCCCACCTTCAGACCTTCAAAGGTCGAGAAGTAGTATTTGTATATCTAAAGTCAGCCTTGTAAACATGGCTTTTTTCTTTTGATCTAAACTGTCAAGAAGAAGTGACAGTGGTAAGCAGGCTTGGAGCCTCAACTTCTGTAAATCTCATTCCTAAAATTTTGCTTGACTCTTATGTTGGCAGAAATAAATACCTGTGGATTGTTGTTAGGGCTTTTTAAATCATACCTGTGTTGTTGGCTAAACTCTGAATCATTAACCTAAAGCCAGTGTGGTCTTCTGAAGTATTCAGTTAAGCCTTTTGGGTTTAGAAAATACCTAAATAGTAGCCTACTTTTCTCATTCATGAATCATTGTGGTTTTTGTATCTAAGACTCTCAGTATCCTTTCCTTGTAAATGATTTTAGTGTTTTGGTTTAGTGTATCCCACATATTTCTATATTGTTAGTTTCACCGGCAGTGATAGAAAAATCGAAATCTCCAATTGCAAACAGCAGTAGATTTGAGTATTGAAACAAAATCATGGTAACATCACTGCTGGGTTTCCTGAAGCCTTTGCAACCTAATTCCTCATTACCTCTCACACCTTGTTTCTAGAAAAAGGCAATTGGAGGGGTCCTATCTATCCTAGTATGGTTGGAATCTAAATATATGCGTTTCCATTATTTTGGGAACTGATTATTTTTTTAAAGATTTTTTTTTCTTTTGTTGATGAGTTATTTTGATACTCATGCTAGGAAATGAGAAACTAAGACATCTTGATTGGAATGCCTATTTTATTCTCCTGGGTTTGGGAGAATTTTAAGCAGTCTATGCAACCCATCAGTTAGTGAGAAATAGCTTTCCACCATCCCCCACTGAGCTTTCAACGATTCATACCTCCCCAAATGTCTTGACGTTGACTGAATTTTGGATCTTGATGGTTTAGAAAGCATTCTTGTTACACCAAGCTGTCGTTTTTTTCTTATTCCTCAGTGGATGGAAGTTTGAAAGAAGAATGGTACTGTAATTTTACTTGATGGAGTGGTCTAAATTCAGAGTTGTTTTCTAAGTGGGTGAGCTCTCCATGTTAATATTTTTAAAGTTTTTAATATGAACTTGGCAATGGAAAAAAGAGGGAAAAGAATGTTTAATAAAAATCAGTGTCTGCTCTTTCCCTTTTTGAGTGCGTATTGCTGCTTGTATGAAGAAACTCATAAGTTTTGTGTTGCCGTTCTAATTGTGGAGAGGGATGCTTGACAGCATGTTAATTGAAGCCAGAGCAAGTATGTCTCCCATCAGGTGGTCTGGAAATGCCAGTGGAAGCAGAGGAAGTGATGAGCTGAAGACCATAATGAATCACTTAGAAAATATAAGTGCTTTCTGGCCTAAGAACTCGAAACTGTAAGGTGTAACTTAGGGTTCTAAACTTGAAACTGATATATATTACCTTACTTTCCACACATTTTCTATCAAAAACTGTCCATTTTCTTATCAGACCAAAGAACAAAAAAAAAAAAAAAGAAAAAAGAAAAAGAAAATGAAAAGCAAAGTAACACATTTTACCAGTTTATGTCACTCAGGTACAATTTTGTGGTGAGCTTTTTTTGTTGTTTTGTTTTTTGTCTTATTTTGTACTGCTCAGCATATTATTCTGCTGTTGCCTCTGTCCTCCGTGGGGCACCTCAGTTTTGGGTGCTACTCCTGGGATCTCTACTGCTGTTAGGTGAATGATGATAGGATGTAAGTGACCATTATCATAAGGGCTCTTTGTAAAAAACTTTAAAAACTCAAAAAAAATTTAAAGAAGGATATTGTATACACATTTTATAGTCTGGCTATCAGTTTGATATCTTGCTGTCAAGTATGTTTCTCAATCTGTATTTATCCATCCCATCAATAAACGTTAATGATGAAACACCTGATTGTTATTTGTATGTGCCGTGTTCTTAAATTAGTCTTTGACTTATTTTGTTGACTCATTACCACTTTGGTTTTGATAGTATTAAAAGTTCCTATCACACTATCATAGGGCCATTAAGTCCATTGGGAGAGCTAAGATTTAACTACAACAGTGAACCTGATGGTGTAAAGTATGCTGTAGTGGGGGGGGACAAGACTCTTCACTTACATTGTTGCATGAGTATCTGGAAGGGCAAAACCAAACAAAAAACGACAGCTTTACTGTGGTAGCAAAGCTTAAAACACTCATCTACCAAGCACCAAGATATAATTTATAACTGTAGCTTGCATCTTTGAAAATCCACAATGATGTTTTTGGCAGACAGTATGTTTTGCTCAAGACAGTTTCATTGTGTAGCTCAGCTGGCTTCAAATGGCATTTTCTTGCTACACCCAAGGTCTTGAGTGCTGAGATCAATTACTGGCATGTTCTGCCACACCTGGTAGAATTACATTTTGAAGAAGAAAAGTTAAATTGATAATGTAGAGAAACTATGGGCACTACACCAGTTATACACTTAGAGGAAAAGAACTGCAGCAAGTTTGGCAAACTTTAGGATTACCAGTAGTTTAAAAGGAGAGCTGATGAGATGGCCTAGTGGGTAGAGCTGCTCAGTGCCGAGCCTCAATCCCTGGGACCCACGTGGTAGGAGAAAAATAACTTCCACTGGTTTACCCTTTAAGCTCCATACATGTGTCTCCACACCCAAATAAATACAATAAAAAAGACACTTTAAAAGTAATTTATTTTTATTTTATGTAATATTGGTGTTTTAACTACATGTATGCCTGTGAGGTATCATATCCCCTGACACTGGAATTAGAGTGGCTACAGCTGTGAGCCATCCTGTGGGTGCTTGGAATAGAACCCAGGTCCTCTGGAAGAGCATCCAGTGAGTGTTCTTTATTGCTGAACCACCTCTCCAGCCCTATGGAGAAAGGACACTTCTTTAAAAACAAAAAACCGTGGGTTCTGGTCATTTTGTCTATTTTCTTTATTTTGGGTAGAGGAGGGGGCAGGAGAGGACAGACTCAACTTAGAAGAGATAAGGTGGCTCCAAAAGTGCTGGAAGCAATGAGAATTGTAATGAGTCATTGAGATAGTTGGTGGGATTTGCTGTAAAGTCAGAGGGAGGTCAAGGATGACTGTTTGACTTAACCAACTGGAAGAATAGAGCTACTGTTTATGAAAACAGGAACAGGAAACTTGCCTTAGCATTAAATTAGAAATTTAGTGTAGACATCCATGGAGGTCTACTGGACGGATGGATGTAGAGTGTGCCATTCAAAGCAAGGTTCAGGGTAGTGGTACCTACTTGGGAACCATCAGTTTATGAATGGAATAAGACAATGAGAGAGGAAAGTATTGTTTTCAAAACTTGGTGTAGGGAGGATAATGAACAAGAGACTCAAATGACAAGAATGGGCGACTGAGGAAAGGGAACTAGAGTACAGGGATCTAGAAAATGTTTTAAGAAGGCTCAGTGGTAAAGTGCTCGGGGTGCAAACGTGAGGATCTGAGTTTGGATCCTGGCACCCACATACATTGGGTGTGGTGATGCACCTGTAATCCCAGTGCCGGGGAGGAGAGGTGGAGTTGGGTACAGTAAGAGGACACTGGAAATTGAGTGACACTTGGTTTCCATATTCACAAACAAAGGTGAGCTCACCTGTGAGTGTCTAAACACAAGTTGCTGCACACAGTAGCTCATGCCTCTAATTCCAACTGTTGGGAAATTGAGGCAGAAGGATTGCCATGGATTTCAGGACAGTCTGGACTACAGAGACTGTCTGTGGGCAGATCTTGCAAAATTGTCTTAAAAGTGAAGCCTAGAAACTTCATTTGAATTAACAAAGTGAAAGGTCACATATAAACTTGACTATCAGTTTGCTGTGGGGAGAATTCTACCTGGAGAAGATTCAAGAGAGAATAAGGGAGCTGGGAATGACACACCCCAGCATGAAAGAGGCTGGGGCAGGAGAATCTGAGACTGAACTGGGCTGGATAAGGAGATCCTGGCTTAGGTACAGCAATAGAGGTAGTAGCTGGAAGAGGCAAGATAAACATTGTTACTTTTTTTTTTTTTTTTGGTTTTTCAAGACAGGGTTTCTCTGTGGCTTTGGAGCCTGTCCTGGAACTAGCTCTGTAGACCAGGCTGGTCTCGAACTCACAGAGATCCACCTGCCTCTGCCTCCCGAGTGCTGGGATTAAAGGCGTGGGCCACCACCGCCCGGCACATTGTTACTTTTTGAATAGGAGAAATCACAGCATATGCATATGCTTTGGAAGATTCAGAAAACAGAAGTGGGGTGATGTCCTTGAGTAGTTGACCTGGAAATGACACAAATGGAGGACTTTGCATCCAATAGGACCAAGTCCAGTTAAATCACAATGGTCTGGGGAAAAAAATGACAAAATTGTAGACTTTCACATTCCAAAGAAGGGTCCAGGCCAGCAGTCCACATACAGATCAACGAGATACAGGAGAGCTAATGGGAAAGTGCGCAGAATGCTCAGAACTTAGAAAGGGAGCTGAGCAGCAGGTTCAGTGGGTACAGTGCCGAGCTGTGAGGAGTTGAGTTCCAGTGTTCAGCACTCATGGAAAAAGGCCAGGCGTGGAGGCAACTCCAGTGCTGGGGCGGGGCATGGGGGAGGAGGCAGAGACTAGAGAATAATAAGGATTATTGGCCACCAGCCTAGTCAGAACAACAACAAACTAAAACAAAAACTGCTTAGTGGTGAGGGCTCTTGGAGCCAAGTCTGATGGCCCAGTTGATTCTCTTAACCCACATGGTAGGAGAGGACTGACTTGCAAATTGTTCTCTGAACTCCACACATGTGACATTCCCAAATAAATAAATAAATAAATGAGATAATACTTTAAAAAAAAATAGCTCCACCAGGTCGTGGTGGCGCACTTTTAATCCCAGCACCCAGGAGGCAGAGGCAGGTGGATCTCTGAGTTCAAGGCCAGCCTAGCCTGGTCTACCTGAATATATGAAAGGTGAGCTCCGGGTTACCAGACCCTGCCTCTATCTCCAGAGTCCTCAGATCTTAGATTACTGGTGTATGCTACCGTACCTGGTGGCCTCTACTTTTTTTTTTTTTTTCTTTTGAGATGGGGTTTCTCTGTGTAGCCCTAGCAGTCCGGGAACTCACTGTGTAGATGGTTGGTCCCCCGGTGCTGGGATTAAAGACCCGTGCCACCACCTGCCAGGAGAGAGTAAGGTAGAGCTGGATAGAAGAGGACATCAATCATCTTCTGGCCTTCACTGGCACACTTGCAAACACACAGAAACAGCAGAATCTTGCAGTATCTGACTGTTTGGTATCTGCTTCCTCAATACACTTACTTAGAAGGAAGCGATTCTATGTATTACTTTTTTGGCCCGCTTTGGATTTAGAATTTTTCCGTAATTAGAAGTCAATTGTTTTTCTCTTTCCCCTTGTCCATTTTCTTACCATAGCACTGTTATTATTTCTTTTTGCTATTTCTACGTTTGTAGATTCTCTCTTTACGATCAACTCCACAATAGAAAACTAATAAAGCCTTTTCATGTATAAACAGGTCAGCCTTGTCCAATTTTTTACCTGCTGTGTAGGAAAGGTAACAAAGTAGCTGCCTGAGAGGACTGGAGCCCATGGCCGTCAGAGGCGAACCACACTGAGACGGGAAAATATCCGGACCTGGAGACCGGCTGCGGCCCGCCTTTCCGATGGCCCAATCACGGGCCGAGTTTCTGACAGACAGTTCACCTCAACCATTCACCTCGCGAAGTTTCTCACCGCCCCGCCTCCCTCGGGCTGATGTGTTGCCTTTGACCAATAGCAGCACATCACCGGCAGAGCAGCGACCAATCAGCGTTCAGGGGCCGCGCGGCCGTGTTCCGAGCGGCCAGAGCGGCCAGAGGGTGAGCTGCGCGGCGTAGCGCGGCGGGGAGGTAAGATGGCGCCGCGGCTGGCGCTTCACCTTTGCTGTTAGGTTGCCGGTCGTCCTTTCTGTCAGGTCAGCGCGGCACTTCGTCTCTATCAGCGTCGGGGTCACTCTTGATTGCTAGGCTGTCGGGAACCGGGGGTTCTCTGGCGCCGGGAGCCGTACGACAAGATGGCGCTTGCAGGACTAGGCTCTGCGGGCCGGGGCTTGTGAGCTCCGAGGCGGCCGGGACAAAGGCGGCGTGCCGGGGTGTGGGGGCGGGGCGCCGCGCTTCCGGTCTGCCGCTGTGGGGATTCGGCCAACGTGGTCGGGCCGGGGCGGCGGGCGGCGGGGAGGTGAGTGGGTGACTTAGCACCAGCAGCCCTGAGGGCGGCGGCACGGAGGGGAGGGCGCGACCCTCGCCCTGCCGACCGACCCGCGGAAGAACGCAGACAAGGACTTTAGGCAAGGTTAAGGCCATTTCGATCTTTTGTGTGCCTCCCACACCCCTGCAGGTTTTGGTATGAACAGGATTCGGATTCACGTCTTGCCAACGAATCGGGGGAGGATCACCCCAGTGCCCAGATCGCAGGAGCCCCTTTCTTGTTCATTTCCTCACCGCCCATGCTCTCAACCGCGTCTGGAGGGGCAGGAGTTTTGCATTAAGCATATTCTTGAAGACAAGAATGCACCTTTCAAACAATGTAGTTACATATCGACGAAGAATGGAAAACGGTGTCCCAGTGCTGCCCCAAAGCCCGAGAAGAAAGATGGGTATGTGTAGATCCCTGTGGGTGTGTGTGTGTGTGTGTGTGTGGTATGTGGATGCGTGCTGAGGCTCGTGCGCGCAAAGCACACGTGTCGCCGAGCCTGTTGCAACACCCAAACCTCCTGCCATTAGCTTTTTATTTTTTTATTTCATTTGAAAACATTTATTTCTAGTTGGTAGTGTGTTGTGGGTGGGGGCGGCGCGTTCTCGTGTCTCGCACGTGTGGAGGTCAGAGGACGATATGCTGGAGTCCGTTCTTCTACCTCGTGGGTCGTTAAGCCTGACCCGCAGAGCCACCGGGCCGGCCCCTTTGTCGTTCTGCATTTTTCTGAGATGGTCTCATTCTATGCCTGGAACTCCGTGTGGACCAAGCTGGTTTGAAACACTTTTGCAACCCTTATACAATGTTTCTTAAAAAATTATGCGTATGGGTATTTTACCTGCGTGTTATGTTTGTGTACTACGTTCATGGTTGACGCCTGCAGAGGCTAGAAGAAGGCACTGGGTCCCCTAGAACTGAAATTATAGATGGTTGTTGGGACTCAAACCCGGATCCTCTAGTAAGAGTAGCAGCCTTTGCTCTTAACACTGAGCCTCCTCTTCAGCCCCGTCTTGGCAAGCTTTTGGCCTTCGAGGTGTGGGTTTTTTTTTTTTTTTTTTTGGACAAGGCCAATGTTTCTAGCTCTGGTTGCCCTGGAATTCACTACCCCAGGCTGTCCTAGCACATACAGAGATCTACCTCCTGAGTCGTGGGTGCACCACCACGCTTGTCCCGACTTCTATTGGAAAGTGAGAGAGGATCATAGTGTGTAGGCTTTGTCATATCTGGAGGGTCAAGGATATATTCTTTGGGAGGGAATCAAAATATTAAAATCATCAGAACTGATGGTGGCACACGCCTTTAATCCGGGCACTGGGAGGCAGAGGCAGGGGATGGGATCTGAGTTCCATTATAGTCAGGGGTACACAGAGAAACCCTGTCTCGAAAAACCTTCCCCAATGGTGAGAACTGGAAGGACACCTAAGGCAGGGGTAATTGCTTACTTGTAAAATTGATTTTTTTTTTTTAAACTGTGGTCCAGACTAATTATGAACTCCTAAGTCTTCTGCCTCAGAGATTACTGTCTGCACAGCCATACTCAGCCTTAAGTTTTTTATTTTTAAACATTTATTATGTGCACGTGGGCTACCACACACGTGGTTAGAGGACGGTTTCCCGAGTTCTCCTTCCACCAAGGGGTTGGGGATGGGACTCAGGTGGTCAGGCTGTCCGGTGGGTGCTTTTGTTTGCTGAGTCATTGAATTGGCCCGCAAGTTAATTCTTAATGCTGGAGTGCTGGCTCACCTGCCCAGCCTTATTCCTTGTTAAATGGTAGGAACAGTGTATAGTGTGTGCTCTGGAAGGGACTTAAGAGCTTTTATTATATATGTGCTTAACCTGTGCAGGAATATGACTTTACTAGGTATTTGTATACATCTTTGAGTTTTAATTTTATTTTATTTTTTAGAGATTTATTTATTTATTATGTACACAGTGTTCGGCCTCCATGTATACCTGAAAGCCAGAAGAGGGCGCCAGATCTCATCACATATGGTTGTGAGCCACCACGTGGTTGCTGGGAATTGAACTCAGGACCTCTCCGTAAGAGCAGCCCATGCTCTTAACCTCTGAGCCATCTCTCCAGCCCCATCTTTCAGTTTTAAAATTGAACCATCTATCTAAAGTGGATTGATAGTAAAATGTGTTTCCAGACTTAGTTTTGAAAACTAAAAGTGTCTCTGATTTTCCATGAGATATTGTTAATGTATTTATGGTTAGAATGTTTTGTCTGACTAGAACACTGGTTAAGCTACTTGGCTTTCTCTTTAATAACAACTAGTGTGGGCTTGGGAAGTAGCTTGGTGTTAGAGACCTTCCATGCATGGAGCTCTGGATTTGACTTTGAGCAACACGTACCACACAAAACAAAAACAAAATTCTAAGTAGGTTGACTTGGGGGCTGTTAAATTTCTGATTCAGATTTGTGTTTCTTTTGAGACAGCGTCTCATTCTGTTGCCCCGTCTTTTAACTCACTCTAGACCAGGTTGAACTTGGAGATACACTTCTGCCTTCTGAGTGCTGGGATTAAAGGCACGTGCCACCACCCCTGACTTTCCTTTCACACTGGTTTTCTGCCTCCCCCCCCCCCTCATTTTTTTGAGGCAGGGTTTCTCTGTACCTTTGGAGCCTGTCCTGGAACTAGCTCTTGTAGACCAGGCTGGCCTTGAACTCACTGAAATCCACCTGCCTCTGCCTGCTGGGATTAAAGGCGCGTGGCACCATCACCTGGCTCACACTGGTTTTCAAGGCATGAATATAATAATTTTAAATTTCCTAAAGACAAAAAAATTAATTGGTGACTGAATATTGCTGACTCCTTTCAAGAGAGAGCTTATTAAATGTTAATGTTTTGCTTCCTTAGGGTGTCTTTCTGTGCTGAACATGCTCGAAGGAATGCTCTAGCACTTCATGCTCAAATGAAGAAGAATAATCCAGGCCCTATGGGTGAAACCCTCTTGTGCCAGTTGAGCTCATACGCAAAAACAGAGCTGGGCTCTCAGACCCCAGAGAGCAGTCGAAGTGAAGCCAGCCGAATACTGGGTAAGGATGTAAGTCTTCTCTCCTGAGTGCAGTAGAAGGCGCTGAAGAATGAATGTGGCTTAGTGCAATGCTTGGTGTATTTGTGGTTGTCTTGGGATTCGGAGGCTTCAGGGTTGCTGTTGCTGTTGTTAGTTGTTCTGCGTTTAGAGTTTGCTTAGAAGCACTCTCCTGAGCTGGTGACCTTTCCTTCTGTTATTCTTAAGAACTTAAAAATTTGAATTTTAAGGTTTTAAGTTGATCTCTTAAGTAATGTAGCTTCATGTGTGGAGTTACAGAGGTGGGAAGTCTTAATGGCTGCTCTCCCTTCCTTGCCTCAGATGAAGACAGCTGGAGTGATGGGGATCAGGAACCCATTACTGTGGATCAGACATGGAGAGGTGACCCTGACAGTGAAGCTGATAGCATAGACAGTGATCAAGAAGATCCCCTAAAGTAAGTTGTAACTCCACATAAGACTTTTACATATCTTACGGAGTTAGAGTGTAAAATGTAGTGTGGCATGTGGTTAATTAATACATATAGGTGGGTTTGTGTCGTGCTTCAACGCCATCTTGCTCCAAGGCAAGATCTCTTGATTCTTTGTGGAAGTTTTGTAACTAAAGTTATTCCCATGAGATGCTGTAGGGAAGAAAGGAGATTTTTTGACATAGGAATGGGAGGATAAGCACTGACTGGCTAGAGAAGAGAAAATGGATTTAAATAGGTACTTGTCCTAAATCTCAGAAATAATAGCTAATTATACTCGGGCACTTGCTGCAAAATTCTATGGTTCTGACTTTCTAAATGGGAAATAACAGTTTTGAGTAGTTTATTTGGTTTCATGTCTAATGAAAGGAAAACTGATGTAGAAACCCAAAATGTACATTTTAAGGTTTGCTGCAGCCCCTGGTCATCTTGAGAGTTGCAGAAATATCAAAACATTGCCACTTCAGATCTCTGGTTTTTTTTTTTTTTTGAGCACAGTCTCATTATGTATGTCTGACTGGCTCAGTTTTTGTTTCTTCTAGTTCTAGTTTTTAATCATCTTAGCGATTAGACGGTGTTTATCTTCACTTATTACAGAAGAGTGCATATATATGTATTGGTTTTTGAGACAGTGTTTTTCTGAGTAGCCCTGATTGCCCTGGAACTCACTCACTCTGTAGACCAGAGTGGCTTGGAACTCAGATCCGCCTGCTGCTACCTCCCTGGTACTGGGTTTAAAGCAGTGTGGCACAGTTGCTGGGTGGGTATTTATATTGTTGATGATTACACTGAATGCACTGCAGTAATTGTAACTTTTTTCTCACTATAGTTATAGATGGGATTTTTCTTTAGATTAACCATTAAATTGCTTTGTAAAACAATCTTAACAATTTCATTTTTAAAGCTCCTGCAACTTGCTTTGTAGACCAGGCTGACCTCGAACTCACTGAGATCTGCCTGCTTCTGCCTCCTGAGTGCTGGGGGTACGTTACCACTGCCCAACTTTAAAATGAAATTTTTAATTAAATGATTTTTTTTTCTCCTCAAGACAGGGTTTTTCTGCATAGCCATGACTTTCCTGGAACTCACTTTGTAGACCAGGCAGCCCTCTAACTCACAGAGTTCTTCCTGCCTGGGATTACAAGATCCACTATGTCTGGCTAATTTATTTTTTTTTCTTTCAGGACAGGGCTTCTCTTTGTATCTGTTGCTAAATTAGAACTCACTTTGTAGACCAGGCTGGCTTTGAGTTTACAGGGATTTGCCTGCCTCTGCCTCAGAGTACTGGGATTAAAGGCGTGCGCCACCACCGCAGGTTAATTTTTTTTTAATTAATAGTTAATCTTTCAGTTTTTAATTGTTTTAATTCAGAAACAGGAGTCTATGGTTATATTAATCTCTAGGCTACCTTTGAAGTTTGTGTCTGGCAGCCAAATTATACATTGGTGTGTAGTCTTCCTAGATTTTGGGCTTTGCGTGCATATACATGCATTTTACCAGAACTTGACCTTCGAGCTGTATCCCCTGGACCATGCTTTGAAGGCAAGAAAGTCTCAGTATAAGATGGTATTTAAAGGAAAATTAGAAGTCATGGAGTCATTTGATGTTTTTGTGTCTGCACATGGAGGCCCAGAAAGGGTGCTGGATCCCCTGAACTCATAGGAATTATGAGCTCTGAGTGCTGGAAATCAGCCTGAGGGCCTCTGCTTTCAACCATTGGGCCATCTTCTGTCCCTGCTATATTTATAATTAAAATACTAATTTGTTCTGACCAGAGGGTCTCTGTTAAATTACTGTGTAAAAGTAGAACATAGATTAGTTAGTAAAATTTTGATGTTTCATATCTTTCTTTTAAATATGTAAACAATGAGACATCTCCCCTCTAGTTCCGTTTTCTGAGATAACATTTTGGTATCCTTTTGTGGAGAGACCTCCCTCCCTTTAGTCTCTTTTTACAAAGAATCTGTTCAAGTTTGCCTGAGCTAATGGGAGCTCACCAACTCCAGCCGGATTGGGAAGGAACAAGTTTAGGACCAAACTAGTTCCTCTGAATGTGGTTGACAGTTGCATGTCTGGGGCAGACTGAGGCAGTGGCACCAGGATTTATCCCTACTGCATGTACTGGCTTTTGGGGATCCTATTCTCTTTGGATGTATACCTTGCTCAGCCTAGATGTAGTAGGTAGGGCCTTGGACCTTCCACAAGGCAATGTGCCTTACCCTCTCTGAGGATGGTGAGGGGGTGAGGTGGGAGGGTGTGTGGAGGGAATGGGAGGGGGATTGGTATTTTTTTAAAAATCTAATAAATTAAAAAACAAAAAGAATTGTTCAGGTCCCAGCACCCATGCGGGACACTCAAGAGTCCCTCTGACTTCAGCCCCTGGCACCTGACAGCTTCATTAGCACTCATGTGCAGCCCAGATGCACACGGGGGAGGGCACTGGATCGTTGGGACCTTTATTATTATTATTATTATTTTATTTATTTTTTTATTTTTTGGTTTTTCGAGACAGGTTTTCTCTGTGGTTTTGGAGCCTGTCCTGGAATTAGCTCTTGTAGACCAGGCTGGTCTCGAACTCACAGAGATCCGCCTGCCTCTGCCTCCCAAGTGCTGGGATTAAAGGCGTGCGCCACCACGCACCTTTTGTTGGTTTGTTTGTTCTTAGTGCTGAAGATGGAACTAAGGGCCTCCCTTATACTTGCATGTATAAATAAATAAAAAATATTCCTATTTACTAAGGTGTGTCAGCATTGCCTTTATCAAAAACTAATACAAATTGAGTCTATTTTTAGACTTTTATTGTTTTGTTTTGAGATAGGGTTTCATATCTAGGTTGACCTTGAATTTGCTGCCTGGTCTAGGCAGGCTTTTAACTGATCCTTGAGTCTCCACCTAAGTGCCGGGATCATAGGCAGGTATCACCATGCTTGTCATTCATTATTATTGCTGCCTTTTTAATGTTTCGCTGAATTTATTCTTTTATTCCAGACATGCTGGTGTCTACACAGCTGAAGAAGTGGCTCTTATTATGAGAGAAAAGCTAATTCGGTTGCAGTCTTTGTACATTGATCAGTTTAAACGACTACAACACCTACTCAAAGAGAAGAAGCGCCGTTACTTACACAACCGAAAAGTGGAACATGAAGCTTTAGGCAAGTTTGATGTAGTTGAATCTGCCTGTCGTGTAGTGAGTCCTTGTTTGCTTAGATTTGGAAATGGATCCTTGGTTACAAGTTACACTTTGACTTGTTTTAGTGATGAGGGTGTATAGTAAGTATCCCAGTACTTGAGAAGCAGGGTAGGGAGTTTGCTGTGAGTTCAAGACCAGATAGATTGACATCCTGTTTGAAAATTTTGATTTCTGTGGTTCTCTAGGTAGTAGTCTCCTGACTGGCCCAGAGGGACTTTTAGCCAAAGAAAGAGAGAATTTAAAGCGACTAAAATGTCTTAGGCGATATCGTCAACGCTATGGAGTAGAAGCCTTACTACATAGGCAGCTGAAGGAACGCAGAATGCTGGCTACAGATGGGGCTGCTCAACAGGTAATTTGCTTATATATCTCTGGGTGTGCATATTCTCTTTATTGATAAAATCATCTTGAGCACACTATGTCCAAGTCAGGCAATCCCAGCACTTGGGAGGTAGAGGGTGGCAAAGTTTGAGGCCAACCTGGTCTGCAGAGTGAGTTCCAGGACAGCCAGAGCTACAGAGAAACCCTGTCTCGAAAAACAAAAACAAAAAATCCAGCACAACAAAATATTGGTGAACAGGTTTTTTTAATGTGAATTGACTTTGCTTTTATAACTGAATAATGTTATAGTTGTGTGCTTCTTGTGTGGGTTTATTTGTGTTTCTTCTCTCAATTTTAGGCTCATACCACTCGTTCCAGTCAGAGGTGCTTAGCCTTTGTGGATGATGTCCGTTGCTCGAATCAGTCTCTTCCAATGACCAGACACTGCCTTACTCGTATCTTTTAAAACCGCCTGCTTAGGTTCTGATTTTCTAGTTTAATTGAAGATTCTGTTTACTTTGGCCCTGAATCAAGGCCTTCAGTTTGCTGAAGCTGTTGGTTTCAAGCAGGTGCCTAAATAAATGTCTTTCTATGGTCTGTTGGCCATTTCAGAAATTTTAAAATGTTATGGTCAATTCATTAGAAAGAAACATCTGGCTGGATATGACACTCAGCTCTATAGCTGTAGTGCTTGACTAGCTACAGAGACCCTTACTAGGGTGGGTGAAGTGGGGGAGAGGGGAGCTGAAGAAAGGACTGGGTCCTTGGTGACAGATGTGGGTAGCTGCTGGTCTTAGTGACATTCCAAGATTTTTCTGTACTCCTTCATTATTGATTTAGCTTTTGTTCTTTTAAGTTTTATATATGTTAAATCTATTACCAAGAAAAAAGATTGCTGTGGGTTTTCTGCCCAGAACATTGTTCTGTACTGTGAACTTCTGTGCGATGATGTCCTTTTGTGTGGTTAGTGCCCTGATGTATGTTTTAAAAGATTGTATTTATTATGTATGCAGTGTCTGTCTGCATATGTGTCTGCAGGCCAGAAGAGGGCACCAGACCTCATTACAGATGGTTGTGAGCCACCATGTGGTTGCTGGGAATTGAACTCAGGACTTTTGGAAGAGCAGGCGATGCTCTTAACCTCTGACCATCTCTCCAGCTCCACTTGTGTGTTTTTAACTTACTCAAATTAGAAACTTAAAAAATAGGGTTATTTCCCCCATTCTTTCTAATTTGTAAATATAAACTGTTATACAGTTTGCTTTTTGGTATAGAACTACATTTGCTGGTGGGCTGTGAAACTTGTTACCTGTCTGGAGAGAGGTGGAGAATAGAACCTTCTCTTAGTCTTGTTTTGATAGGAAGGGAGATTTACAATAATGTCTGAATGGCTTAGTACTGGGATTACAGTTGTATACTAGATACCGCATGCTGTTTAGAGTTACTGCTCTTAGTATATAAATGTTTATGTAAAGTATTGGGCTCTAAAGATGAATGCATAAACCATAACTGGGCTAGGTGAAGGCCAGGAAACTGCAAAGTGCCCGTGATGTATGGGGTAGTGGTTTAAGGGCCTTTAAAGGAGGGTTTAGAGCCTATAGAGCACATGGGATAGTAAAGTGGGGAGAGTGCTGGAATGAGAAGGTTTAATGGATGAGAATCAACTCAAATGGCTGTGAAAATACTTAAGGAAGCCTATTGCTATGTAAGCTAGTTAAAACAAACAACAAAACAGAACCTTTTAGCTGGTTATGGTGGTGCATACCTTTAATCCCAGCACTCAGGAATCAGAGGCTAGCAGAGTTTGAGGCCAGACTGGTCTAGTGAGTGCCAGGGCTTTGTAAAGAGACCCTGTGTCAACAAATAAACAACTTCTAAAAAAATTTACCTTAAAAGTTTTTTTAAGAATCAGTCATAGTGGCTCATACCTGTGACCCCAGCACTTCAGAGGTAACGGTGGGAAGATGAGGAGGTACATAGTGAATTCTTCGGTTCCAAGTGAATGTGTCATGCTATTAGGAACAATGTTCTGTTTTTCTTTGTTACGATATGGGTTTTCTCTGTCAGTGTATGTTCCTTGGCGTGTTGTTGCCTCTTAGCACTGCCGTAGGGTTGTAGTGTCGCTCGTATAACTGACCAGAATCCTGGAAAAGAGATTGAAGATGAGTTATAAATTATTGGTAGGGCTAAAATTATGTGCTGCAAAATGACAGTAATTTGAAGAACTAAAAATTACTCATTGCATTTGGGTTTCTATAAAAGCATAGTCTTTCTCTGAGTAGTGGGGTGTATATGTGTGTGTTTGGCCTGGTGTATGCGCCTGTACTGTGCGCCTCCGATTGGTTGGGTCTGTTTTCTTAACTGTTTCTGCAGATATTTGCCAGGATACAAATCAGGTTCTCTTCAAATGCTGCCAGGGATCTGAGGAGGTACCCTGCAACAAACCAGTTCCTGTAAGCCTCTCTGAGGATCCCTGCTGTCCACTGCATTTCCAGTTGCCTCCTCAGATGTATAAGCCCGAGCAGGTACTGTCTGTGCCAGACGATCTGGAAGCCGGCCCCATGGATCTGTACTTGAGTGCTGCCGAGCTTCAGCCCACTGAGAGTTTACCACTGGAGTTCAGTGATGTAAGTTAGATAAGCTCTAATCTGATTGGTCCTTGAAAGAAGGCCCTGTTTATTAGTGGTGAGAATAGTTAGTGGTTTTCAGTCAAGAGGATGGATAAAGCTTTTCACATGATACAGATGTTGTTGAATATGTTTGTTACTTTATTATATACTTTCTGTCCTACCTTTTTTCCTCCCAGACTTTTCTGTTGTGAGACAGGGCTTCATTGTGTAACCTGAGTTGAACCTGAACTCGTGATTTTTTATTTCTGTCTCATATTTGTTGGCATTAGAGGCATAGACCTCCCAGCCTGGCCTCCTTTATTACTTTGGGATGTGATTGGAAGAAGAGTTCAGAGATTTATTATTATTATTATTGTAGATATTTATATGCAGACAGCTATTGTTACTATCTGAGGATGTTTTTACCACCTCAAAAAGAAATACAGTAATCTTTAATTCTCAGTTTTTGTTTTGTTTTGCTTTTCAAGACAGGGATTCTCTGTGTAGCTTTGACTGTCGCTTTGTAGACCTGGCTGGCCTCAAACTCAGAGAGATCCTACTGTCTTCTGCTTCCTGAGTGTTGCAATACCTCACTTTCCTTCCTTGCTTTGTAGGCTAGCCTGGCTTCAAACTCATTGAGGTCCACATGCCTCTGCCTCCCAAGTGCTGGGATTAAAGAGGTGTGCCATCACTGCCCAGCTAAGAAGGTTTATTTTTAATTGACGTTTTATTCCAAAATTTAATCAATCTGTGGATTTCACTTGATTGAATTCTAATTTAATTTTTGATGCTGTTCTGAACGGGATCTGAATATTTCTATCATTTTTGCTTGCTACTTTAAGCCCAGCTTTGTACCATGGCCTAAGAAGACTGGCATTTGATTTTTTTTTTCCTTTTTAAAAAATACTTATTTTATGTGTGTGTTTTGCCTGCATGTATGATGTGCACCCTATGGATGCCTGGTATCAGAAACCTGAAGAGGTTATATTCCCCTGGGACTGAAGTTAAATCAGGTTGTAAGCCACCATGTGAATGCTGGAAATCGAACCTGGGTCCTCTGCAAGAGTAATAAATGATCCTAACCACTGAGCCTGCATAGTTTCTTATATTCACAGAGTTGAGGGATTTAGAATGAAGATTGATGGGGCAACTAACTGATGTGTGATGTAAAACTCTACCAAGAGAGAAGACCTTGAGTTCACCTCTTCCAGGGGCTGAAGTTCCTGGGAAGGATTTTGTTTTGTAGAACACTACATTGCCCTCTATGGTTTTGAGAGAGATGATGCCAATCCCGTTTTGCTCTCAGAGCTGGGCAGTTTAGGGTGCAGTCTGCAAACCTCTTAGCCATAAATTTGGAGTGCGAATTTTAAGGGGAAATTTAAACACCTCCTTATATGACTCTCAGGAAATGAAGCCTTTTGGAGTGCTTGTCCATATTATAAATAAATCTTAACATTTTTTTCTTTTCCTATTGTGATCTAGAGACTCAAAATATGTCTTATCCTCTCTGTTTCTAGTGAGCTAAAGTACTTAGCGATGAGGAAACTTTTCAAGTACAGACCTCCTTTCCTGAGGGAGGACCTGGGAGACTCCAGTTATGGAGTAGAGCCCAGAGCAGGCTTCCTGTCCACTCCTACACAAGAATCTCTTGACCAGTCTCTGGCATTCGCAGGAAATTGTTCTCACAAATAGACTTTGTGTATGTTGTGTACAGGTGGGTGGAAAGAGCTGTGAACAGTGGTCCCAAGCTTTTAAAAAAGATTGCAGGAAACAAAAGTATCCACAGTCTCAGTCCTGTGAGAACATTTCCAGTACATCTGTAATGGATACTAGTAACTGTGACTGTTTCTCTGTGTTTTTCCTTACACTGAGCAGTGTGTTTAAATTGCTGCTGTCTTTTAAGATATTTTAAAAGAATACATTATGTATCCCAGGCTGGTCTTGAATTCTCTCAGACATCTACCTGCCTCTACCTACCTCCAGAGTTCAGGGATTAAAGGTATGCACACCCATGCATGGCTCTTAAACTTTTTATTTATTTATTTTAGGATATGTCTTTATTTGTATGGGTGTTCTGCCTGCATGTATGTGTCCTAAGAGGTCAAAAGCTGTGTCAGATCTGGATCTTGAGTTCTAGTTCTGTGTGGAGTTCCATGTGGTGCTAGTATTGAACCTGGGTTTTCTGGAAGCACAGCATGTGCTCTTTAACTGCTGAGTTATTTCTCCGGCCCCCAGTTGAATTATGGTTGACTTTTTGTTTATTTTAGTTAAAGTAGACCAGGCACAGAGATCCTCTTGCCTTTGCTTCCTGCTTCCTGGTAGTCAAGTTCTGTGTCTGGCATTAGCTTTCAGACTTTTAGACTTTTAAGGGGAATAGATAATTTGACAGTTTTCTCCACCTTAATTATGAAGAGGTTATGATTTTTATTCCTGGTGGCTAGTACACTAATAATAAAAACTGACCTTTTTTTTATTAGTACCTAACAGTTGTGTAAAATGGTAGATTTCCTTGTGGTCTCCTTATATATGCGTGTAACATGCTTTGCTCATAGACGCTTCTCTGTCACCTTTTCTTACTTAGTGTCCTTTTTCTTTTCCCTCCCCCGTCTGTTCTTTAATGTGGCACCTGTAAGTTCTTAGATGTAACTTAAAAGCATTAACTGTGCTATTGTCAAGTGTCATGGGACTTATATTGACATAGTACTTGAACCATTATAGTGACTTGGGCCCTAAATCAATGTTGGTTTCAGATAGGAGCCAAGAACGATGTCTTTGGTCTGCTGATTCTCATTATCTCTGGGAATGGCTGATTCATGTGGGAAAAGTATAGTCTAGAATATAATGTCTTTTTTTTTTTTTTTTTTAAACAGAATACTTGAACTATGTTAAGTTTAAAACTCAGAGGCTTAGCTGGGCCAGGTGGCACAGGCCCGTAATCCCAGCTACTGTGAGGTGAAGCAGAAGCATCATAAGTTCAAGTCTTGCCTGAGCTGCAGGGTGAGTTCAAGGCTAGCCTGGTCATCTTAGTAAGATCCATCTCAAAGTAGAAATGAAGAGGAGAGGACTGGGAATACATGTAGTTCAGGATGATCATCTGTCTGCTGTGAGAGACCCTGACTTCAGTTCTACCTGAAGCTTATGCTAGGAGTAGGGAGTTAGCCAAATACTTTGTCTTTGCCATTCAGAGAAGTTTGAGTTTCTGTGGTTCTTTCTCTTTTCCTACCTTCCTTTTCTCTCAGTTGCTTGCTTTGTGAATGTTTTCTAGCGGATTTCATGTTATTTTATCTGGTCGCTGATTGTTCTTTCCATACACTTCAGTGAGGAGCTTAGATGATGACTGACTGTAACTAGCCTCCGAGGGAATAGGTTTTTTTTATTACATTTATTTTCGATTATGCACCCGTGTGAGTGCACATACATGTCTACATGCTGTGGTATGCACTGAATTCGTTCTTCCCTCCACTGTGTAGCGCTAGGGGACTGAATATGAGTCAGTAGGCTTGATGGCAAGTGACTACTCCTAGAGCCATCTTCTTAAAAGTATTCTCTATCTGTACACGTGTGTAAAAGTACATCACAACTTTGTAGGAGTCTGTTTTCTCTTTCCATGTGGATTCTGGGGTTCAAACTCAGTTCATCACACTTATAGCAAGTACCTCTTTTCATTGAGTCATCTGCTTGTCCTGGGGGGTTTGTTTTGTTTTGTTGGTGTTTATTATAAAACATGTATAATAAAATTTATCACTTTAATCACTTTCAAGTTTACAGTTCAGTGGTATTGATACTCATGTGTTGTGCAGTCATTACTAGTATCTTTTCCTTGGATTCTTCTATTGGTTCCCTGTTAAGCCTGCTCTTCCTCTACTCATGTTAGTCACTGCTATACTTCTATGATTTCTCCTAGGAATCTGCTTCTTGTTTATGTTTCATTATCAGCTAAGAGAAAGTTTTCAATATTGTTGGCTCATGTTTGATTGGTTTAGCATTCTAAGCAAGGGGAAAAGGGGAACCTGAGAATTAACTTTGAACTTTGCTGAAAATTATGTCAATTTTAGCTCATTGATTTTTGTAAATATTGCTGATAGGCTTTCCTCTTTCTTTCCCAGGACCTGGACGTGGTGGGTGATGGCATGCCATGTCCTCCTTCACCCTTACTTTTTGATCCTTCACTAACTCTCGAAGATCATTCCTTCAAAGAAATTGCTGGAGGCCCGGTGGGTATCTTGACAACTGAATCTTTGCTAGATTCCCTCATATAATGACCAGGCCAGGCGGAGGTTTTCCCTGTGGATTCGCATGAGTTCAGGGAGTAGGGTATATTTCCAAACAGTGTAAAAGTGCCCAAGATGGTGGTTTTCTCAGTGGGTACCATAAAATGAAATACCCCTTTCAAGCTAGAAATATAGTTCACCAATAGATATTGTTCTTGGGTTTCTATTGTGATAAGCAGCATGATTAAAAGCAACTTGGGGAGAAAAGGATTTATTTCATCTTATGCTTCAAGTCACAATTCATCTGGGAGAAGTCAGAGCAGGAACCTGGAAGCAGGACCTGATGTAGAGGCCATGGAGAAACACTGCTGGCTTGCTCGGCCGGTTTTCTCACACCATCTAGGACTTCAGGAGTGGCACTGCTTACAGTGAGCTTGGCCCTCCCACATCAATCAAGAAAATGCACTCCAGGGCTGGAGAGATGGCTTAGAGGTTAGGAGCACTGGCTGCTCTTCCTGAGGTCCTGAATTCAAGTCCCAGCAACCACATGGTGGCTCACAACCATCTGTAATGACATCTGGTGCCCTCTTCTGGCCTGCAGACATACACACAGACAGAATATTGTATACATAATAAATAAATAAATATTTAAAAGAAAGAAAAAGAAGATGTACTCCAGTAGTGGTCATAGACCAGTGTGGCGGGCCCATTTTCTTAGTTGAGGTTCTAAAATGATCCAGACTGTTAAATTGACACAGAACCAGCCAGCATAGACCTATGCTTACAGTTAAGGTATGAAGTCCTGGGTTTAATGTGCAGCACTGACGAAAACAAAACATGAAACAACTTTTTCTCTCTTTGAATGCCCATCTTATACTAATTTTCCAGATGAGCTATAGAACTTCTGATGGTTGCCAATCCTCAAGAGTAGGGCATACATTTATCTGAGTGGAGGATGGTGGGTAAATTGTTTCTTCAAAGGCAGAGTTCATCGTTCTAATTGTTCTTAAGAATAGACTGAGGGAGGTTGCTAATGGCTCTAACTGAAGACTAGCAGTTATACTGTAGCTGTTGGTTTCAAGCAGAGGCCTAAAGAACTATCTTCCTGTGAGTTAGCAGCTCTTCTGGAACCTCAGTAGAGAATGACTTTCTCATTTGGAAGAAACAACCCTCTGTTCTGTCCTTTGACAGCTTCAGACTTCTGATTCTCAGGGACATCAAAGTATTGGGGAGAGCAGCCACGTTGTTACTTCTTTTTTCTTGTAGCTACTGTAAATGGGCATTGATAAATCAGGGTTATGTTTCAGAACCATTGGATGAGTCTCTAACCAAAGAACTTCTATTTATTAGGGCCAGATGCAGGTGTCTGGAGATGGGTCCAGATCCCAGGGACCTCGAAATTTAGAGAAAGCCTGTACATCATTCCCCCAGCGTGGATTGGCTACTGCAAATGGAAAACCAGAGCCCACTTCTATCAGTTGATAGTTCATTCTGAGAATTGCTTGACTTTGGTGGATCTGAACTTCTCATTCTTCAAACAAGTTTATCTCTGGTCATCTCTCACTAAACAGGGGCAACCCAGACTACATGGTGTTTCTTCGGGCCTATACAGTGCTAAAAGCAAACATAAGCCAAATTTGTGAGGAATGGATCTTTAGTATTTAAAAGTTACAGGATTCTTTGCAAGGAAGAGAGTGTTGGTAATCTCTGCCTTTGGGATGGAATGAATATTGGAGACTATGCCTGGGAAAGAGACGTTTTGGCGATATGATTTCCTAAGCCATGGATGAAATCCATCTAAGCAGGGGCTGTGGTCCTGAGGTGCTGCCTGTTCATGTCTGTCCGTCTGTATCTAAAGACCTGTGATCAACCCTTTCCTCAGTTCCACATAGCTGGGCAGTAGAAACCCCGTTCCTAGTGACTGAAAAGCAGCTCACCTCATATATCTGGGCTCTCCTTAATTGTCCTTGCCTTTAACTTATGTAAATGTCTGGTGGATTCCCTCGTGTAAATTATAGCAAAATTGTTGTATATAGTTTCTATTAAATGGTAAAATGTTATGGAAATGTAAAGTAGCGTGAATTGAATTTGTGGAGTTTTTGTTTTTGTTTTGTATTTGAGTGTCTATATTATTTCCTGGGACTTGAGTGCTGTCTGATGGGAAAGGTACATAATATTTCTATCCCCAGACGGGCATTATTGGAGAAACCGCGTGAGAGAAGTGACAGATGGAATTGTGTTCACTAGTGGGGTCAAGACTGTATAGTGCTTTAGGGTCTTGGTTGAACCCCACAGAGGAGATGAAAGAATGGTCTACAAAGGGGGCAATATATGGTGAGGTTTGTGTCAGGCTGGTTTTAGGGAAACGTTTGACAGACGCTTCTGAAGCCTGACCACAGAAAACATAAGTAATTAAACCGTGGGGATGATTATACTCTGGGGTGGCCCTTATCCCATTACTGTGTGAGCTGCACTTTCTCCCTGCATGAAGGTGTGCTGAGGTGAAGGTCATTGGCCAGCCCAGCCTGCTTTCAAGTATTTCAGTTACTTTCTTGTTGGTTCTGACTAAGGTTTATGGTTCTAGAAGGGATAAGAGGCCATGGCATGACGACAGGAAGCTGAGAGCTCATAGCCTTAACTACAAGCATGAAACAGCAAACTGAAGGCTTTTAATCTCAAAGCCCAACTTTTTGCAGCAAGTCTGCATCACCTAAGACTCCAAAAATTGCCATCAAGTGTCCAAATGCCAGAGACTGGTGGACATTTTTCATTCAAACAGCCACATCAGGTTTGGCCAATGGAAAGTCCATAGTACTGGGCCAGAGACTGTCAGAAGGGAGCTGGTCCAAACAGCAGTGATGAAAGGCCAGTGTGCATCTGTTGAACCTGAGCCAGGCCAAGCTGTAATCCACCCCACCAAGACCATCAGTGCTGGCGAGACAGGCCCCACACTAGCGCTGCAGGATGACAAGGTTGGATAGCTTGGGAAATGAGATCATGGAGGGCTGGGTGGGATGGCGGTGCCTATTGTCACTGTAGCCAACATTGCTGAAGTCCTTTTGTGCTGTATTGGACTTCACTATTAGTGAACTATTCCTTTATTAGTATCCTCTTAGCTGCCCAAAGAATCAGGAAGTCAGTGAAATATATATA